AAGGCATGTGATACTCATTTTCCACTCGTTGAATTCTCGTACAATAATAGCTATCACACAAGCATTAAGGTTGCTCCCTTTGAAGCCCTTTATGGACGAAAATACAGATCACCCTTGTGTTGGGCCGAAGTAGGAGACACTCAACTGGCTAGGGGACTGGTACCCAACATTACTTTAACCGGACTAGAAATCATCAGGGAAACCACTGAGAAGATTGTTCAAATTAGGGAACGTCTCAAGGCATCCAGGGATCGACAGAAGAGCTATGCTGACAAAAGGCGAAAGCCTCTGGGATTTCAGGTCGGTGATCGCGTATTACTCAAGGTCTCTCCCTGGAAAGGGAGGATCCGATTTGGTAAGCGGGGAAAGTTGAATCCATGATACATCAGACCATTTGAGATCCTCTCCAGGATAGGTCCGATGGCCTATAAGCTACAGTTACCACCCGAACTCTGCAATATACACCCTGTCTTTCATGTGTCAAATCTGAAGAAGTGCCTATCGGATGAAACTCTCATTCTTCCCCTTGATGAGATCGATATCAACGAGAACCTTCATTTTGTTGAAGAGCCAGTATAGATAATGGACAGGGAAGTGAAGCAAACTAACCAAAGTCATATTCCTATTGTGAAGGCTTGATTAAACGCCAAATGCGGACCTGAGTTCACATGGGAACGTAACGACCAGATGATGCAAAAGTACCCTCACTTCTTCTCTACTTCTTAGTGACTACTCTCGAATGAATTTCGGGACGAAATTTCCTCCAACAGGGGGATGATGTCACAACTAGCAATTTTGATTTACGATTGTATGCATGCACCAACACTCTTCTTATGTAACATAATTGAAATGGACTATGTTAAGTCAAAGATGAACATATTTTGGATGCCCCTAAGCAAAAACATGTAAGATATTGTAACAACACAAATTTAAATGCCAAGACAGACCAAAAGTGACCAAAAATATAAACTCTTTTGCTTTTCATTTTGGAAATTTGGCCATGGAACACCATGACCGAACACACTTTGTTTTGGTCACTTAAAACCCGAAATCCCCCACTAAATGGGCCTTACAAGACCGAATTCTCCATATGAGCCCAACAAGAAACCGAATTTCATATATATATATATATATATATATATATATATATATATATATATATATATATATATATATATATATATATATATATAGACCGAAATCTCTATTATTAAAAGAATATAGACCAATTTACTCATTTCAAAAGTCTCAAAACCGAATTCTATTTGAATTGGGATATTTACTATGTGTTCGGTCAACAATAGGAACTTCCAGTGAGATTACATTTGTTTATTGTATTTCCTGTACGTAAAGTTGTCCTGGGAAAACAAAAATCGGCCATACCTTGATTTAATTATTATGTGTTCGGTCAAAATCATGAACTTCCAGTGAAATATCCATTTGTTTAATAGATTTTAGTACAAAAGGTGCCTTGGAAATCAAATTCGACCTTACCCCTTATTATCCACCGAATTTCAATGCCAATATCCCAAATACCCAACATGCATCCATGCCACTTCTATATTTAAAAACCCACGAATTGGAGACTCATTCAGGTCACTACACTCTACTTCCCTTCTCTCATTTCCTCTCTGATACTCTATCCATTTTCAAACTATATCAAGAACAAGGGTGTAGTTTTTCAATTAACTTCATCATCTAAGTGATTTTTGTCTCTTGGTAAACACTTCGACAAATTCCTTGTGTTCTTACACTTATTTGTGTTCATTTCATTCCATTTACACACAAAATTTCGTGTGTATGATTCTTCATAAGGTGTTAGAAACTTCAAGGGAAAATCTTCGAGTTTTGGCTTACAAACTCTACTCCACACTTCAAATCTTCCACAAAAACACCCAAGGTGAGCTTCATACTCCCTTATTTTCATGTTTTCTACTTTTAGGGGGGGATACAAGCTTAGTTTTGTGTTGGATTTTAGTATTTATGCTTGCATGTGTATATTTTCATGCCATTGTGTGTAAAATGCTATAAACTCTTGATAAACCTCCATGAACTCGAGATTTAATCATGTTTTGAAGTGATTACAAAATAAGTTACATTATGCAGCTTCATAAAATAGTTGGACATAATAAACATGTTTACAAAGTTGTCCTGAAACTAAAAGAAAATACAAGAAAGGACCTTATTTGTCAAATAATTGAAAAATGGGCTAAACTGATCATTTTTGAATAAAATGGGTCTTTTATGGTATTTTTCGGTATTTTTGAACTAAAATGGTCATTTTTTATGAAATGGACCAAGTATAACAAATTTCATTTAAAATAGGCAAAGAATGTCATTTTTACTAAAAACAGGCCTAACATGTCATTTTAGCACAAAGTGGTCTAAAATGTCCATTTTTGTTTACAAATGGGCTTCTTACAACATTTTACCCTAATTGGGCCGATTACACTCATTACATTTTTTGAGCCCTTGTGTCCCATTTACATGCGTTTTGATCTTAATAAACTAAAACATACACGGAAACAATATACATTGTGCAATTCAATATTCATGTAAGTCCAGTTAAGGCTCTTGTGAGACATTTCGTTAGACAACTATTGAGTGTACAACCGTAGCTTGTAGTTATAACCAGAGTTTCCTGGAGGAAGAGCGAGAGTTTGTGTATAGATCTATATGGGGGTGACTCCCCCACACCTGAGTTGTTCGCTACGTTAGACTAGGCCAGTCTAGGGTGACACACCTTACCTTAAACAATTTGGCACCTGAAAAACATCAAGACAACGAACCAATCATTATCAAGTATGATTATAACGACTCACATAGAGAATAACAACGATACAAACATACAAGAATACACATACTATACTCTTGATACATTGTACGAAACAATACATTTACTTCATTACTCGAGTCATATGGGTTTTAAGACTACAACGCTTTTATCAACAGAAAACATCAGGTTTTCTAGAAACTACTTACTACACACTATAATTTTTCAAACAATAGAAAATATAGGATTTTCTGGAACACTCTTTTCATATATTGTCAGAAACAAAACACACATGATATAGTACAAGATTTGAAACAAAAATTACAAACCATTTTTACAGAAGATATCAAATTTTATGGTCTTTACAAAGTGATACAAAGTTTCCATACAAATACGCTTATGAACTCATCAACATTTTACATGTTGACGCTTTTTAAAATTGCTTGTATTCTCATGAGCTCAGTAAGCAGGTATAAGAGCCTCGGATTATTGGATATTTTGCTGCATTTTGGAAATTTCTTGCTAATGTCACTTTTGTTGTAATATTTGAACAAATATACTATGTAAAACAATGTAAGTTTGTATTAAGGGTGTTGATCGGGTAAAAATTTTGGGTTTCGGGTAATTCGGGTTTTTCATATAAAAAAATTACCCGTTACCCTACCCAAATTAAATTCGGGTAAGGGTAATTCGGTTATTACCCGATTTTTAATTTTTTAATGGCACCTAAAAATAAATGTAATGAAATAAGTATGTCGTGCTAAACTTTGAACATTGAGATTTTTACACAATAATATTTGAGATATCAAGGATTCTTTCCAAACTTTCGATCTTGAGTTGAATTCTTTAGTTTTTTTTTTTCTCTTTTTCTTGTGGAACTTGATCATTGGTTGGGTTGTTAACTTCAATCGTCTCATCTTCTACTTCAATATAGTAATCCATTGGTGACGAACACCAACGAAGAGCAGACGAGGTATGAGGGTTTTTTGACGTGGAGAAAATAGAACGGGCCTTAACGAGGGAAATTGGGATTTGGGAATTGGGAGGGACAGATAACCTCATAAAGGAACATTATTTGTTAAATATATTTTAGGTAATCCGGTATACCTGAAACCCAAATAACTTACCCTTTACCTAACCCGAAAAAAAATCAGGTTACCCACTTACCCGAAAAAATTAACCCGATAGCCAAAAAAATTGGGCGGGTAATTCAGGTAACAGGTATTTTTGACAGGGCTAGTTTGTATTTCAATGTATAATGTGTGGATTGTTGTGTTTCATACAATTGTGACGATACTATACAATGACGTCATCCGCCTCAGGACGTTTCCATCATTCTGGTCTGGGGGTGTGACATATTACAACAATATGATTGTTATAACTATTTAAAAAAGGTAATAATGTTTTAATGATGTCCACATTAGGTTCCTAAGGTCTTTTTTTGTATATATTATACTAACATGGTTGTTATACCCGTTCGAAGAAGGGTAATAAGGTTTTAATTTTGTCCACATTATGTCTCTATTTTTTTATATTTTTATCATTTCATTTAACTTGTTTACAATTTATATTAGTATCTAGTTAGATGACTTCGTCATTTCATATTCTTATTTTAGTCGTTCATTCACCATAACCATGAGAAGATGAAATGATAAAACCATCTAACTATAAATTGTAAAATATTTAGATGAAATGATAAAGATATTAAAAATAGGGACATAATACGGACAAAATTTAAACATTATTACCTCTCTTTAAACGATTATAACAATCATGTTGGTGTAATATGTATAGAAAAAGATCTTAGAGCTAATATGGATAAAATTAAAACATTATTACATTTTGTTTAAGCGGATATAACAACCATGTTGGTGTAATATGTATATATAAAAAAAACTTTAAGATACTAATGTGAACAAAGTTAAAACTTTATGAGTTAGAGCTAGGAAGAGCAAGCTACTCCATACATTATATAACTTGGGAATACATAGAAATAGATTTTTTATTTTTATTTATTTATTTTTCAGTTTTAAACTTATAGCTATTTTAAGACAATGAGATTTGTCGATTTTGATTTCGATCCGACGTTATGAGTATGATCATCCAACATAAAAAGTATCATATGTATCTTAACAAACTTACTCTTAGATATACTTATTTTATTTTATATTAAATATAATATAATAATTTCTTAAATATAATTTGGCCAGATGTATGGACGAGTAGATTAGAATGTAAGTAAGATGGTTAAAAAAAGAAAAGAAGACTAATTTTGTTCCATCCTGTGATTCAAATTTCAAAAAGTTAAAATGCTGAAATTTCAATTTGTTTCAAAAATTAAGAAGATTTGAATTTTGTTCTAAAGTTACCAAAATATAGGTGTGAACTAAGGGTATAATCGGTAATTAAGGTTTAAGAGCTATACCTAACTCATCACCGTCACCAATTCGTCCTAGGTTTATTGAAATATAGAAACATTTCAAAAGTAAAGTTTTGATTTTTCGAACAGGAACAGATTACAGACACAGAGAGCGAGAGAGATGAAGCAGCCGATGATGCCGAATCCAATGATGTCTTCTTCGTTTCCTCCTACAAACATCACCACCGATCAGATCCAAAAGGTTCAATTCTTTCCTTTCATTTTCCCTTATCTTCTTGTTTGTATTTCTTTTCGATTTTCAAGTTATGTTGTTTCCACCTGAAACTAGTTTTGAATTCGCGAATTCTAATTTGGGAAGTTAGGGTTTCTTGTTATTTGTAGGTGGAACAGTGTATTCAATCCACTGTTCGTGATTGTATGAACTTAGTGCAAATATGGAGTCATCTATGAGTTCCATATTAAGTAACAAAATGAATGATTTGAATGCTTATTTAATTGTCAAATTGGGTAAAACAATCTACTTGGGAATTTACGAATTGAATAAGTTTCTTCTTTAAGCATCTTTACACAATTTAAATACTTTATGAGCTAGGAAGAGCATGCTACTCCATACCTTGATCTTCAAGAACAAAACAAATAGATACCTTTCTATCATTATCTCGCTTCCCCTTTTTCTCATGCATTTGAGCTCGAATATTTTGATGAACATGGGACAGAATGCTTCTAGCATTCCTTATGGACAATATCTTTTCTTATATGTTATATACTGAAACTCGAATGTTGTTTTGAATGGATATTTGCAGTTCCTTGATGAAAACAAGCAACTAATTATAGCAATAATGAACAACCAAAATCTTGGAAAGCTTGCTGAATGTGCCCAGTGAGTACCCAAACCTAAAACATATGAATCATAAAAATAATGGTTTTATATACAAAACTTTATTAAAAAAGACTGGTTATTTGTTAATATGTTATAGGTATCAAGCTCTACTCCAAAAAAATTTGATGTATCTAGCAGCCATTGCAGATGCTCAACCACCTACACCTACACCAACACCAAATATCTCATCTCAGGTCCTTTCTATTCCCTATGCCTCCATTTATAACAGTCTTGTACTGTGTTTGACATGCATTGGACTATGACTGAGATTGATGTCAATGGAACAAAATTTTCAACTTTTCGTCCCGCCCAAAAATACAGGGCAACAACTCGCTTTCGATCTCCCGTCTGTGCAAAAAGACGTAAATGCCCTCCTCATCCTCCTCATCGAAAATAGCCTAGAAAGCTTGTCCAGTCTGTCCCTAGCCCATCCAGTCATGTCCCGTGTTACACACGGGATGAGATTGGGCTAGACTGGACAAGCTTTCTAGGGCTTTTTTCGATGAAGAGGATGAGGAGGGCATTTATGTCTTTTTGCACAGACGGGAGATTGAGAGCGAAACGTTACCCCGTATTTTTGGGCGGGGCAAAAAGTTGCAATTTTTGTTCCATTGACATCAGTCTCAGTCATAGTCCAATGTATGTCAAACACAGTACAAGGCCACCATGTTTTTTGAGAAATGACTTGTAATTTTTTTGTTTTTATGATAATTTGCAGATGGGCCCGGTTCCACATCCGGGGATGCCACAGCAAGGCGGATTTTACATGGCGCAGCAGCACCCGCAGGCGGCTGTAATGGCGGCTCAGCCCCCTTCTGGTTTTCCACAACCGATGCCTGGTATGCAGTTTAATAGCCCACAGGCTATTCAAGGGCAGATGGGCGGTAGGTCCGGTGGGCCGCCAAGCTCAGCTGCTAGTGATGTCTGGAGAGGAAGCATGCAAGATGGTGGTGGTGGTGGTGCTGCTGATGGTAGTAAGGATGGTCATGCTGGCGGTGGACCTGAGGAAGCAAAGTAAAAAAAAAAAAAAAAGAAAAGTTGAGTTGTGTTAGTGTGTGTTGTTGTGGATAGTAGGTTGGTCTGTTTACAGTAGAACTAGAACCTTAATTTGTGACATGTAGCCAAGTTCATGAGCATATTGAACTTTCTTTTTTATTAAATAGTGTTTGGGTAAAGTGTTGTCTTGAGGATTCAAAGTCTTCAACCACCGACACTTTTACCTTGCAATCATTTACAAAATCGTAATTGATTCATTAATCCATTCAATTTGCTTGGTAAGTATCCCCACTTTGTTGAGGCCAAGTGAGCCCAATCGGAGAACAATCAGCTGGGGTAATAATCGACCCCTATTCAACCAATCTATGCTGCTAAGTGAGGTGTGAGGAAGACATATGTGATAGTGTATATTTGTGTTTGATATACGTGTGTATTCTCCGCCCAAGGGTATAACCTCGCTGTTCTTTATTGTATGTTCTTATATATTTTGAATTAATGAGATGAGGATCTTTACGGGGAAAATAACAAATTACATGGTACTGGAGCATGTATAGTCCTTCCTTTCTCCTAAATTATCTCTTTCATTCTTGGCTCTAACCCTAGCCATCGTGACCAAATTGATGACCTTCATCGTCTTTCTTTATCCTCTTGTCACCAGTCTCATACTGTCTACTCACACTAAACCATAAGGAATAACGAAGAACAAATGAAAAAAATTCCATTATGTACGACAAGCACATTGGAATTATATAAGCTCAGGGTTAGCCAAGTAGAGTTCAAAATGTGTCTAGGAAAAAGGCCCATTGAAATCTAGGGCTCCAATTTTTTCTTAGCATTTGTATTAGCCTAGGTTCATTTTTATCCTAATTGTATTAAGTTAGGTATCAATGAAGGAAAGGAACGACCCAAGAATGATGAGCGGGAATATGAAAGTTTTGGGGAAAAAACGACGCTTAGATTCCTTCAATACCACAATATCATAGACATTGATTACGATTTAAGCATGGGAACAAATTAATGATGCTAGCAAAATATCGAATCACTGCCGAGCTCCTTGGCAATGATGTCCTTTCATTCTTTGCTTAAATCAAAAGAATTATTCATATGAAACCCTTCTGTAACGTCCTAAAAATAAGACTCAAAAATTTCATTTTTAAATTAATAAAATCAATATCCCAAAAACATCATCATAAAAATCCAAATAAAACAAATGTATCAATCATCATATTATAGCAGTGTAAATCACAAAATGCGAAACAAGATGGTGTGTGCTCTGCAATCATCTCGAACTCTTCCCTTTGGAACCAGAGGTATCTGAAACATAAACTGAAAACCGTAAGAACAAAGCTTAGTGAGTTCCCCAACATACCACATACCATACATAAACAAACATATAACAGACCTCGCCCAATGAGTGTATCGGAACCCGCCCACACTCGCATAACGGACCCCACCCACGGAGTATAACGAGCCCCACCCAGATTCACATATAGGGCTCCGCCCACTGAGTATAACGAGCCCCACCCAAACTCGCATAACGGGCCCCGCCCAACATATAAATCATATAAGCATATACACATACAAGAGTCGCACAAACATCTAGTATCCTAACATAACTGATCATGGGCCGACATTGGTGCTTTAGACCTGCTAAACATGATGAGGAAACTCACCTCGCGCTGTTGAATCTCACAAAAAGATCTCTAGCTGCTGGCCCACTAAATTCCCCACGCTATCACAAAATAACATCCAATTAATAATTGGATACTAACTCACACTAAGAGTCCAAACTAGGGTAAAAGACCTTTTTTACCCTGTCCCTAACTTGGCCCCAAGGCCAAGGCCCAATCCAAATGTCCAAAAAGCCTAAATCCAAAATAATCATCCAAGGCCCAAATATGGCCCAATTTTCCAAATTGGGCCCAAAGCCCCTTTACGGGCCTTCAACCAAGATCCAATAAAACATCCTTCGCCCAAAATAGCATTCTGATGGCCCAACAAGGCCCTAATCATCCATAGTCCAATCATAGCCTAACACCGTGAACCCAAACTTTTCAAAGCCCAACTGTTGAGTACGCGAGGCATACTTAGCTCGTACGCTAAGTGTACTCGCATGGAGGCTTGTACGCACGACGTACCAGCTTGTACGCCTAACGTACTCCTCAACTTAGCCAATCTTCCTTATTAAGCACTTATTCAGTTAAGACTTCGACCCAAAACCTAGATCTGACTTCCCTAAGGTGGTTTATCACGTAAAGTTGCCAACTTTATGTGCATGCATGGCTTAATGGGGTTTAGAGCTAAAAAGAGCTTAATAAATGACTTAACACATGCATGAGACCAAAACTGTGACAACCCGAAATTTCTATTTGTACAAACCATACAGTCAATGAAAGTCAAACTTGTTTCTACTAACTTTTAGCACTGTTTAAAGTCCGTTTGAGTGCCGTAAGCATAGTACATTCAAGGTATGAGTCTCAAGATGAGTGTATATGGGTTCCACACCCTTCAATTGAGCCAAACACCCCTAGTTAAGGAGTGTACGACCACACACCTGAGTGTACGGCCGTACAACCCCCCTTCTGGCCGTACACTCATGTATATATATGGGACTTAGCCTCCTTTCATTCCTTTTCACATTCTTAAGGCCGAAAATGACTTCTCTCTAAAGTATCATCCGGTTTTTCCTTCAAATATTCAAGTTGTAAGTAACTCTTTCATCTATTTGATGATTCCTTACTCTATCTAATAAAGATCTACCATTTCATCTATGAAACTGCTCATTTTGTTTAGATATTCAAGTGTTCATCAAGAACACCAAGAACACCTACTAAGTTTTTGGTCCACAAACACACCTAAAGGCTTCTAGATCGTAAGTATCACTCCCTATACTTGTTGCTTACTGAATCACTCCTAAGAAAACATCCAAAAGATGATCAAAGAGGAGTGTACGTCCGTACACACACCATGTGGTTGTACACCCCTCCATTTGGTGCTTAAAGGCCTTAACACTCATGTTCTAGGCTAGCAATTGATCAAGGATACTTAAGGAATGAAAGATAGAACCTTGGAATACACTTTTGACCATTTTTGCATAATCAACAAGGGTGTACGGTCGTACACTCCTTGTGTGGCCGTATACACCCTTTTTAGGGTCCAAAATGGCAATTAACTTTCAATAAGGTTAAGCAATGGCCAAGACACACCCCCTAGATGCTTAAGAAGACTTTAAAACACAAAATGGCATGTTTCACCATGAGTGTACGGCCGTACACTCACTTGGGCCATAAACTCTGGCCGTACACACCCATGGAACACCATATTCTAGCCTTACACTCCTATGTGTGGCCATACACCCAATATATGCAACCCTCTGTACTTCTAGCACTTGAATCTAAGGGCTTTGTATGACCTAGGGTGTCTTTACTTGTATAATTAGTTGTTTAAACACTAATTATATACACATATGTACCATTATATGTTAAATAGGATCAGTGTGTGTTCAAGTCTTCACTTGACACCTAGCACCTTGTCCATCACTTTCATCCAAACCACTCACTATAGGTGAGTTCATACTGTGACATTCCCATTTTCACGGCCAGAAAAGACCGATTTTGTTTATGCTTTATAAAAATCAGAGTACTTCTTTTAATAAAAATGTTGCGGAATTTGTTCCCAGAAAAACATGATAAATACGTTATTAAAAACATTTTCGAAGAAACGTATTTTATTCATTTCAAAACGTTTGGGATGTCATCGTTAATACAGAAACATAAACATAAATAGAACTTACATTTATTTACACTAGTGATCTACATTTCTTTAAATCTCTCAGTGTAATGTGACTTCGTATCCACACCTGTGATATAAATAAACTGAGTGGGTCAGGTTGGGAAACCTGGTGAGTACATAGGGTTTTCAATCCACAATAATATAATTATTATGTTTAAACAATCAAGCAATTAAACCCAATTACCCATCCCCATTATCTTCTTTACTCTTAAGGATCTATCCTAAGAATCAGCTATTCCTCGTTCATTCATTCCTAAGGATTATCCTAAGGAATCAGCACAAAGTCCATCATTGCCACGGTTTACACAACGGACACTAAGTCTGCATAGTCGCCAGGGTGTAGGTATCAAGTCTGCATGATCGCCAAGGTTTAGGCATCAAGTCTACATGATCACCAAGGTTTAGGCATCAAGTCTGCATGATCACTAGGGTTTAGGCATCAAGTCTGCATGATCACCAAGGTTTAGAGTACACTGGGTGAACACGTTGTTCACAACACCTACAGGTTGCGAGCCTGCTAGTGTTCTACTGGACTGTCTAGAATAGTTCGTGGTTGTCATCCATACTCTGCTGAATGACGGGGCCATCATTTGGGAGAAAGGCTTCTCACATCGTCCACCTCTCATCCTCACCTCACGGTCTATTTCACTTCTCAACTCATCATGCAACTCATACTCCATCTATTACATCTACCCATGTTTTACCCCAACATTTAGTAGATATAAAATACATATACAGTTTAAATCATTTAAAACATGTATAAAATCGTTCATCCAGCATAGACAACAAGTATTCAGATAATATGCACAAATAGCACGTAATTTATGTAAGATACTTCATATCTATGTGTAAGATGAAAAGGAACTATGCACTCACCTGAAAGGTGGTGACTCAGCACTCGGACAGCGCTTCGATACTCTTAAAACAATTTCCTTCGATAAAACCTAGTACCAATACCACTAGGGTTTAGTCTAACGATAACCGCGACAAATTAATTAGTCCGACTATTATTATTATTATTATATAAGCGTTAATAACACTCAATATAACTCATAATAATAGCCCAAATAATTATTTTGAGGACCTAATAACATTCCTATAATTATTCGAAAGCTATATTAAAAGTTGCGTAAGTGTAGCTCACTTACAACGAATTTTATTGAAAACCGGAACTTTATTTGGAGCAGCGTTTCGAAACCGAAAGACTCCTTTTTCTTAGGATTCCGGGAGCCTCGGGGCTTCCTTAGGGTGCTAGGGGTTTAACTAGGGCTTAGGGGGGTTTAGATGAGCTAGAGAGAGAAACTAGTGAGAGAAAGATATGAGAAATGTGTGTGAAATCCAGAGCACTTCGCACCAACTATTTATAGTGCCAGGCTCTGGTCATTACGCTGGGCGTACCGAGGGTACGCTGGGAGTACTACTCGGATAAGACCACCGGACCCAGCTGTCTTGCACTCCATCGGAAGGATCAGATCAGACCAAACGCGGGGCGTAACGTCTTCGGACGCGGGGCGTACTACAAGGGTGGCGTGTCACAATCCGAATCGAAGCCTTGGTCGACAAGCAACGACCCAGATGCGGCCACGTCATCAACCTCGCAACAGGTCTCGCAAATTTACTTTCCGACTTCTAAAAATCATAACTTTCTCATACGAGCTCCGTTTT